CAACACTTCCTCCTGAGTCTTCACGTCGTCCAAAACAGACGTGGCGGTTTGCTGCGCGGCCAAAAAACTGTCCAGCTAAAGAGCTTATCATGCACTTTAGTATTAGTTACATTTAAACCCGCTATCCATCACTACAAGAGATAACTTCATGTATAGCTGTAATGTATAAATAAGAGCCGGCCAGAGGGATCGCTGCAGATCTGCAATCGCCCAGTGATTTCAACTGTGAAATCCACCTTTTTTTAATCAAAGAAAGGAGGTAAAAGGACAAAACAGAGACAAGGCAGGTGAATGCTTTCCAACTATAACCCATCCTCTCCCTCTCGACCATCTACAAACAATAAGGAGGATTTTGATAATATTGACATGAAAGATGGATTTTCAGCAGAGAGACAAAACATGAAAGATCTGAGATGTTAACTCAACTAACTGTTTCTCCTAATATGTTTAGGGAAGAGAGGAATAGTTTTAATCTATTGAAACTGTGTTATTCAGCACTCACTTATACTGTATAAGTGCTTTAAATTATATAGAAAGAATATACTTAACATAACAAGAATCTCTTCAGAATTTTTATGTACAATTCATGGCCAAAAGTATGTGAACAATCTGAAGAAGGTGAAGACCTATGCTGCTTTAACAGCCTCCGCTCTGAGAGATGTTGGAACCTCGCTGGTCAAACACTGATGTTGGGTGATAAGGTCTGGCTCCCATTCAGCATTCCAGTTTATACCAAATGTGGGTTGTGGTCAGGACTCTGCAGACCAGTCAAGTTCTTCTACATCAAACTGGGACAAGCATTTCTTTCTGATGCTGACCTCGTGCACAGGGACATTGACATGTTAAAACAAGACAGGGCTTTCCCCACACTGATCCTACAACGGAGAGTTGGATTAAGATTCCTCTTAACTGGAACAAAACAAGCCTTGTGTAAATCATGATAAACAATCAAAAGTTAACAAGTACGTGGACATGGGTGTCCACAAACCTTCATACTTGTAGTGCACCATAAGGTGGGGACACGCTTATCTCCCAAATCGATGCTATCACAACACTTGGGTGCCAATTTGATATGTACTGTGATTTTGCTTCAAGTATTGCAATTCATTATTATAAATTATTGCAATTTTTGTTTCCTTTTTTAAACATTAGACCATGGGAAAAAGTTAAATCATACACGTCTAGAGAGTGTTCATCATAAGGCAAGTTTTCAAAACCAATGCACATCAGTCAGTGTCTTTGACTTTTGTGTCAGCAGCATCATCATATATAGAAAAGGGGTGTATAAAATGCACATGTGCAACAGAATAAAGAAAAACATTAAACATAAAATTAGCTAAATCTTATTTATTATTTCATCGTTGAGCTGTGTGCAGTGCATTGATTTCGCTCAGCCCCTTCCCCTGCTCTCTCTTTGTATATCAGGGCCCAAATGAGATACGAATTTAGCTAACGCAACCTGTGGTCTCTCTACCTTGCTCCCTGCCGAGGAGACTATTTCGCTAGGAGGAGAGTGGGCTGCAGCTCTAGAGGTGTACCTGCAGCAGCTGTAGCAACTTGAATTTAGCCATCGCAAACCCCAGCACCAGGGTTCACTGCAGCTCATGTAACAGCAGCAACAGAAACTACACTGATTTGGCGTGAAGTCGGGGCTGTCCTGCATCAGACCCCCAGCGCTGGGGTTTGCATGACCTGTATCTGAGTTGCAACAGCTGATAACTGAAGGTCTGGCTTTGTTTTTCTTGAATGAATATGACCTCACTTTAATCATAAATAACAACAATCAAAGTCTTCACTTACTTTACTTCCACTCAGACTAAAATGAACAATAGCATTTGAATTACATCGATTCAGGCATTAAAGAATTAAAATCAATTTTAAAAATGCACTACTTTGATGAATCAATTTTTTTTCCTGGCAGCAACGCCCCCCTCCAAGTCCTGGCAAGGTTAATGGGGTCAACGACCTCTGAGCTGCCCACTTGTCTCGGACAGAAACACATGTCAATCACAGTCTGGTCTGGGTCTCTGTCCATTTTATACCTGCTGCCACCTGTTGCTGCAGGATTAACCTGCAGCTCCTGCCTCTCTCGTCACTGTTAATGGAGTTGTCCTGCTAATGATTTCTCATCAATACGAGGCCACCAGCAGGGACACAGCCACCTGAAACCTCCAGGGGTCAAAGGGGAAATGTGGATTGACTGCTAATCAACTAAAGCTGACCTGTTCATACGTGACAAACAGTATCGAGACTCGCAGTCTATGTGGTTTAGAGGGTAGCAGAAAGACAAAGCTCTAGTCAAGCCAGCTCTACAGGCAGTGATTGTGTGTGTGTGTGTGTGTGTG